AACGAGCCGCACCACCACGCTGATCAGCCCACGCAGCAAGTCTAATGACGTCATTTACATCATCATTGGCGTGATCATTGCCGTGGTCGTCGCCACCATCACATTGGTTTTAATTTGTTACATCACCAGACGTCGACGGCGGCAATCCAGTATAGACGAAAATGAAATCCTCGGAAACCGCGCTTAGTTTGATGACAAAGGTTAATGACGTCAAACATGTTGATGTGTCAGTTGTTTAATTTGTGACGTTTACTTTAGCATCGATTCTGTATCAAAGTTTCCATCCTGCTTTAATTTGTTTCTGTCTGGTTTCTTCCGCCCACTCCTATTTTTTTCTCTTCTTTAGATAGGATATATGTATATATAAAATGTAAATTTGATTAATACTTATTTAAATGGTTTTTTTTTGTTTGTTTTTTTAATTGATGAAGGCTAGTGATGTACAATTATTATAAAAGCTTAACATGAATTGTTATATTGACACAAATTGTTCGTGTCTAGTTTATCTGCTTTGAAGCTTTATCGCAGTCCAACAATTTTATCAAAGACTTAGACTGTCACATTACAAATAAAGTTACATTTTAACAGCTAAAGTTGGTGCGTACGAAAAAAAGTAGAAAGTTGTAGTAGTTTTTTTTTTTTTTTTTTTTTTTTTTTTTTTTTAACAGTGATGACTTCACGTAATCACATTAAAACACTGTGATGGTTATCTTATTTTATATATATATATATATATATATATTTAGCAGCGAAATTAATATAGATATATATTGATATATGCATCTGCGTTTTGAAATTTTAATTTATCTCTTTATTTTTGAGGATAATCAGTCTTCACATATTGTAAAATAGACATTTCTTATGTGGATTTTTTGTTTTAATTGATGTAGGAAAGCACTCTGATGAGATTATTTTATACACATTGATTATGTAGGGAAATTTTATACCTAGCATTTTGTAAAAATCATGTTTTTAAATGATGACATTTTAAGATTACGTTCTGACAAATGTTTTCATAAAATGTTTGGGTATTTATAAAAGAAATGCAAAATAAAATAATTTTGGTTAATTAGTTGAATATTATTAGAATAATTTTTGAATTTTAGGAGCTTGTTTGTAAAATCAATTCAACCTGTGATATGTGCAAATAAAAAGTAGTCCTTATATGTATCATTTATTTTATATATATATATATATATATATATATATATATATATATAAGGAAATTATTGCTAATATAAAAATATGTGTGAACAATGTTACCTTAAATTGGATATCAAATTATAAAAATATAACCTTTTAAAAACATAATTATTGAATGTAGACTCAACAAAACTTACTAGCTTTGAACAAAGAAAAGAAAACATATCATACACCAGTTGAAGTAAATCACCATTTAAAACAAATGCACATGAGTGTAGGTCTCCATTCCCACAATGCCGTATATGCAATGAAATTTTGAGATATTTTCTTTCACACCAAGAGTGTTTGGTGTGATAACTAAACTTCACTATGTACATTTGAGTTGTTTAGTTTTACTAACTCAATTCGGGCTGAAGTCCTTAAACAACAACAAAACATCTCTGTTGGTTAACTTTTTGATTTGAGGAACTTTTTTTCCATGACATAATGTTTTACTTCGAGTTATGAGGCTGCAAAATTTAACAGCTTGGGCTTAAACCGGGTTCAATCGTCTTCACCCTGCCTGCCGGCCATTAAGCTATAGTCCCACAAACAGCTCTACGAACTGTCCCACACCATGCCCGTGGCTATTTATTAATATAATAGTCGCCTCCCCTTAAGGAAAATAAAATCAACCTTAACGGAGTTCCAACGTCACTCAGCACTATTAAGATAAAACCAGTGTGGTTGGGGTAGGGTCGTTTGTGAAGAGGACGCAAGAAACACCAGAGGCTAACGATATATAGAGCAGATTGTTAATATTTTGAATTGCAATTCATACATTATCATGTATTAAGGTATATTTATTTTTATTTTATTTGCTCAAATTTTGAATCCTTACTATTATCGTAAGTCAATTTGTTTGTTAATATTTAGAAAAAATCAAATTATTTGTTTAAAATGGTATTATCATTATTAGAAAATTAAAGTATACTTATGGGCAATAATTGTCTAGTATTTGTTCAATATAAGCATATTTTCAACATAATTCATCTCTTATATCAAACAGAAACGCTAACCCACTCCACCTGGACAGTTAATATATGTTATATATATATATATATATATATATATATATATATATATATATATATATATATATATATATATATATATATATAATAAAATATA